CAGATTTCACTCCTAAATATCGTGTAAAGAAAAATGTAGTACAAATGATAACATAGGTTGTGGCGCGGTTAATATTCGAATCTTTTTATCTGCAATAGTATAATATTATAAAGATAAATAAGAGATTACATTTGTTAGCACAATAAGTGGGAAACATTTTTATTTTTATTTTTAATTTAAAAAATCACTTTAATATAAATCATAGATTAAAACATAATGTAGTGGCATTTGGTTGTAATTAATATTGAAAACCAAGGGCACCTCAAAAAAAGGCCTTGTGTTTTAATAGTATAGATATATATAAGCATGATTTTGAAAGTTTGTGTTGTATTTTTGTTTAGTTCAGTGTGAAATATACACTACAAAGTCCAGGAAAAAAAATGCACGATCTGTAAAGTTCAGATAGTATTTTTAAACTTTTGTTTAGTTTAGTATCAAATACGCATTACAACAAAGTTCGGGAAAGAAGAGGCACGATTAATAAAGTTCGGGTTAAAATATGCCCTTTATAATATGCCCTTTTCCCATTATTGACTTATCTATTAGCAAACGATCTTCAACAATTTTTAATAATGAACTAGCCTTTGATCCGCGCGCCCGCGCGGATAATTGTTATTTTTGTTTATAATTTTTGTTTTATTTTATTTCAAGTGTCATATATTTTAGAATTTTCAACACAATATCAATTTCATATTATTATAGTTACTAAATATATTTTCCAATGTAAGTGGTGATCATATTATTTCGTGTTTATAAACATTGATTGTGTATTTAGTCCTCATAATCTATCGGTTATATAGAAATGTTTATTATTTACTAATTAATAATAAGTAGATTTTTTATGTAGAATATGTCATATTAAATTATTTAGGTTAATCAAGCAAATATATATCATATATGCTGAAAATAATAAATTTACATTTTATTTTTAATTATAACAGAATCGGTTGAGAGAAAATATAACAAAATCTTACTAAAATTTAAATATTTTTTTATTAAATAACATAATAATGAATTTCGAAATTAATAATATCATACTATTATACATTAATATTAATTAAAATTTCACTAAAATAACAAAAAAAGAATCCTATGCTATTTTATAAATTTCATATTATAGTCTACGTTATATTAAAATAGAATTGCACTATCAGAAAGTTTTAATAATTCAGAAGATATTAGTGAAAAATATTTTTAACTGAAAATTTAATATTTTTATTATAAAATAATATGTTGAGAATATAAAAAAAACATTTTATATTAATAATGTTGAATAACAACGTAAAAAATTAAAGAATATTATATATTAATAATGTTGAATAAAAACCTACAACAATTAGATTATAAAATTACCCATTATATAACATAAAAATATAAATTATATATGTAAAACATTTACATTAATATTAAATAAATTTTAAAAAATGAAAAGATACGTGCACGAACGTGCGGGTAAAAATTCTAGTTTATTTTTAAAGCACTAAACATTACTAATCATGTTATAATTTTATTTTTCAAAATTAAAACCTACAACAAATTTCTGTTAATTTTTACCAATCATGTTTAGCTTTACTTTTAAAGCTACATAAAAAAAACTAAAGCGAATTGTATTCTTAAATATTTTTGGTAAAATCCTTTTATCTTTGTTTTATAAGTTGTGGAAGTTGTAAAATGAAAAAAACTATATGTGATATCAAATAAATTAGATAATCATAATAACTAAGTATATATAAATATTAAATTTATTTTGGGGTGTTTTTAAAAATTATTTAAATATTTTAAATAACAAAAATTTTATTTATATATCACATTTTAAATAAAACCAAACTTTGATAATTTATAAAAAAAATATTAATACATTTTTTAGTTGATAAAAATAACTATTTTAAATATACATAATATATTTTATTTTAAAATGTCTACGGGCTATAGCTTACTGGTACAACAGATTTAATTACATCAAAAATCTATAGTAACAACTTTACCGTTACAACCAACGTATTTACAACTAAATTTTTATAGTCACATTCGAACCAATCATCACTAATTTATTGTAGTGAATTAACTATTTAATAATTATTTAAGAAGATTTTTTAATTTACAATATGTAAGATAGATTCTTAAGTCCCTTTTCTAAACCCACGAACAAATCACCAACAAACAAACAAATAAGTGGATTACAACTATAATTTGGGTTATCGCTAAATATATTGATTTGGGCTAAAATAATATATAATTAATAGAAAGTCCACTAAAATTCTATTACTTTTCCGGAAACAAACTGATATGTTACTTCGTAAACAAACAGCCGTGTATTTTGGTTTATTAATGTCACAAACGGCATGGTTTATTAATGTCACAAACGGCAGTGTATTATACCAATGGCATTCTCTTGTAAATATTTAGGAAAAATTAGGGTTAAGTACTAATTGTACTTCAATTTTAATATATTAGATAATATCAAAACTATATACGTAGTGGTTTACTTTACCTTAAACAAGTCAAAAGCAATAACTGTTGGAAAAACAATATCTACCACCCATAGATTGGCTTGTGAACTTGAGGTGAAACAAGATTCAGATCCTTGCAATGTTGCTTGTCATAGTCTTTTGTTCTTGGTGTTGCTCCACTACATAGCCTCAAAAAATCGTTCCCAGTGAGAACATAATGTGTGAAGGCAAGTCCTCCATCAATTACCTCGTTAAAGCTAGGAACCGATCTTGATTTTCTCATCCTTCTTCTTCCTTCTCCATCATTTAAGATCTTATCGACATCTGAAAACTCCATGAATCTCTGTGTCGCTGCTTCCCAAGAAAGATTGTACATCTGTTCAGGAGTGAGTGGTAACGGCTCTTTCGACATTGCTTCTTTCACTTTGTTCACAAAGTCGTCGGATGTTTTGTATGTTAAACAGTTTGGGAAGTTTCTGAAGAACTCGTTTGAAGGGTGGTCTGCACACACAACGAGTTTCCCCATGGCTAGTGCTTCTGCAGTTGCTGTGCACAGAACATCGCTGATGCTTGGGTTTATAAACACTTTGTACCTACAAATTACAATCAAAAGAGAGAAACATTAACGAAATTTCAAGAGCAGATGTGCGTTTTTTTCAGAACTTACTTGTGGAGAGCTTCGTCTGCATGGTCCCTTCCTTTGAGGAAATTGAGATTTAAATCGAGTTTCTGTGCTGCTCGTTGCACCTCGACTGCATCTTCACCGTTTCCATACACATCTAAATCGAAGCTCCCGAGGTCGCTTTTGTGTTTAGCCATCAGATCTATTAGCTCTCTGTATCCTTTAGCCCACACCATTTTCCCTAAGAAATACGCGCCTTTTGAGAAAGCTTGTTCCCCACGGGATCTCTCTTCAGCAATCTTCTCCCCAATTGACAGGAACTTGGGATTGACGCCATGGACATTGCACACAACAGATTTTGGCAAATCTTGCGTTGCCCCAGAGAGACGAAGAACCTTTCATAAGTGGTGAGTATCTTGTTAGCAACATCCAACATAACAAAAACTTGAAATGGGATAATAGAAAACTCACCTTGTCGCAGTATGCTCGTGTGACCCAATTGTTTACATGGTTCACAAAAAATGCTTGGATAGCACCATGTTTCTCTCTCTTGATGTACTCTAAGTAGTTTGTGTGGACAATTCCAACGACATGGTTGAATTTATCAGTCCAACGCTTGCCGTGATGATACCAGTTGAGATGTTCAGGCTCTTCAAGAATAGCAATGTCAGCATCTTTAGACGGTATGAATTGAGAAGTGTCACCAGCTGGAAATATGCTGCGTCTTTCTTTTGAAAACTATCAGAAACCAGAAAACTCATTCACTCTCAAGTATCAATACATAGAAAATATATAGAATCCAGAATGATAAACTTACCTTTCCAGGGTAAAACGAGATTTTAAAATCAGCTTTGAAACCAACCCTTTCCTCCAGCCAATTACGTATATAACTCTCCTGTTCTTCAGGTGAACTGAAGGTTAGATTGTTTGGATAAACCAGTTCTTGATCAGATTCACAAAGCCAAGGAACCAAGAGTGTAACACTCTGTTTTGCAGTTTTTGCCAAATAGGCAGCTCGGAATAGCGGGTTTACAGCTGTTCCGGTCATCCAAGGGAGACTAGCTGTTGTAACTATTGCTACGTGCCTTTTGCTTTCTGACGTCTCAGTCCCAGGCTTTAGAAAATCAGTCCAAAAGCCACCGTCATAATGATGTCCCGTGCTCTGAAGAACACTGGCTATCCTCATATCCAAATCATCGACATGGTTATCATTTTCAATCAAATCGGATGCTTGTGCAGATGGCAGACGCCAAAGGTGTTGGCTCTTGCATTTGCAAAGGTTTTCTACTATCCGGTCGCACATATCTGAAGATAATTGAGTGGAGAAAAAATCAGGGGTTTAGTTTATTATGTAACCACCAAAACTAGATGGTAATGTACAAGAACAGGTGTTTTATACAATTTAGCTACACATCCAGCAAATTTCATGTCTAATAGTCCACTTAGTGCAGTTAAAAAAAAAAAAAAAAAAAAAAAAGAGTGATATGGTCTTAAACAAAAATCTACACCTAAAAAAAATTGATAGCCAGAGAATGTGCAAGCAACTTCAAAGCATCAAACCCCACCAAAGAAAGCAAAACAATGACCCTCTAATAACTCTATAGTAGAGAAACACCACAAGTTCACAACTCACATACAGGCTAATCAAAAACAGAAGCAGCATGAAGTGAAAAATGCAATTACGTGCTTACCCTTTCTTACACCAATCTGATCAAGAAAAGGTTCCGACTGCCTAACCAAGCATGCCAAAAGTTCAGGTACATCCAATGGAGGCACATCCTGCAGCAAAAGTAAAAGACGGCCACGTCAACCTCCACAATTCAACACTGTACTAATATCTATCTAGAAACTCATAAGTTAACAATCTCAAATATTATGAGCGCAAATCAAATTAAATGTAAAGAAACATATTAGCAGAGTTCAAAATACCAACCTTGGCCTCATCAGTTTCTTTGTAAATTGATTTCTGCAAATACAACAAAAGAAACTCAATCAAATCATACCATACTAAAGTGTAAGTTAAAAGTCTATAGCACTAAATGCATCCCTCTTGAGGCCAACCAGATCAGCCGATAGAGTTTATCGAAAAAAAAAACAAAAAATTCAAGAGTCTTCTAAAACTTACAAAGCTGGATTTGAGCTTCTCCACAAACTCACTATTCTTAAAACCACTCAACATCTCCAACGACCTTCGTTTCTCAAACTCCTTAAACCTACTCATCAAACACCTAATCGGCTCCCACTCTCCAAAGCTACCTTCCCTCTCTCCCTCACCACAAAACTCCGTAAACCTAACCCTATCCCTATTACTCCACCTCCTCCCAACTCTACTCCTCTCACTCTCACTCTCATCACCAACCTCCATCTCCGACACAATCGCCTTCTTAATCGCCGATAAATCCATCCCCAGCTTCGCCTTCGCTGGTCCCCACCTCTCCCTAACCTTCCTGCTTATCTCCGGCGCCGAGTAAACCCTGCGGAACTCCGTTATCTTCGGTTGGAGCTTCTTCATGATTCCAGTTTCGTTCCAATTCTCGATCTCTCTGTCGAACGTCGACGCTAGATTCTTGACGGAGTTGGCTCGGTGGCGCATCAGCTGCAAATCGGCGTCGGCTGAGTCGCGTACTTCCTTCCAGCCTTTTGATAAGAAGGATAACGCGTTCGTGGAGGATAACGTCATCGATAGAGAGGAGGGAGAAGAAGACGGAGGAGTTTGGCTCTCCGTCACCATGATTTTAGGGTTTCTAGTTTCGTCACGGCGGTTACGTGGAAGTGTTTTTGAGGTTTTTCTATTCTGTTGAGAATTTGAGGAAGAAGGAAAGGGAAGAGGAAGGAGGGAGAATATAAAAGGTAAGTAATTGACGGCTGAGATTAATTTGGTATTATTATTATGGAATGATGATAACACGTGGAAAATAAACAAGTCGGACGATGGGAAGCTCTCAAGACTTGACCTTTTGATGATGTGGCGTGTATTGATTGGTTGACGAGATTATCCGATTGTGTCGGGTACACTTGGGAATATGCTGGATTCTATAAGAATCTGTTTGGTCCTACGGGGCATGGGCTAATGACAATGACATCATATAGGAAAAAGAAATATGAAAATGATATATCAGTGTTTAGACCTTGATGGAAGCCTATTTACGGCTCTATATATTGGCCGACTTAACCACGGCACTTTAGTCATTTAACAGTATACCCTCACTGCCGCGAGATTAGAGCCGTACCAATCAAGTACGTGCATCCAACTTACTTACCTTAACATTTAGTGGGAAAATACCGTTTCTTTTCATTACTAAAGTCGAAAACTAATTGCTACCAGAAGGTTATGTTGTTTGGGTTTGTGGAATCAGTACAAATGCTGTTGAAAACAGGGAAAATGGACTGTTGAGATATTGATGTGATACATTATGAAGAAGGCAGTCAAGGACAGAAGAAAATAATGCATAAGGATACAAAATGATAATGGTAACCAAACTTTATTAGTGGAAAATGAAGTTTTATGGTTTTTGAGGGACACAGTGAGATTCAAACAAAGGATTCAGCGTAAACGAAAAGAAAAAAAAAACTCTGCTCACACATAACAAAGGCTTTGTGCCTTTTAAGTTATTCTAAATAGCTGAGAAGTACTCTTTGCTGAGCTTGGGGTCAGGTTTCATTGACTTCTCCCCTGGTTTCCATCCTGCAGGGCAGACTTCATCAGGGTTCTCCTGGATGTACTGTAATGCCTGCAACATTGATGATAACATGAATCAAGCAAACCGTAATCAGATAAAGAAAAATAGTAGGTTTTGAACTTGAGAGTTTTTGTACCTGAAGGGTTCTCATTGTCTCATCAACGCTTCGGCCAATACCAAGATTGTTAATGGTTGAATGTTGGATCACTCCTTCCTTGTCGATTATGAAAAGCCCTCTCAACGCTATTCCCTGTTTTGTTACACACAAAAGTATTCACTGATATTTATTTTCTCCTAAACACTTTAGAAATTGAAGATTATTGAGGGGCTTACAAATTTACCTGATCATGAATGAGCACTCCGAAAGATTTTGAGATTGATTTAGTGACATCTGAAACAAGGGGATAGTTGAGATCACCAAGTCCTCCAGATTTTCTGTCTGTTTGAACCCATGCAAGGTGGGAGAACTATGTGGACATCATCACAAGAAGTAAGGATGAGTCAAACCAATTTGCAAAAAGATAAGAATCGTTGTAAACTGTAGAGTTTTACTTACCACACTATCAACAGAGACACCTAGAACTTCTGTGTTCAGTTTCTCAAACTCTGCGTACCGGTCACTGAAGGCAGTAATCTCTGAAATACAAAAAGAGAAAATGAGATAAGGATGTGCAGTGAGCCTCAGATATTCAACTTTAATATGCTTATATCAAGCAAATGGTAACCTGTTGGGCAGACGAAAGTGAAGTCCAAAGGGTAGAAAAAGAGAATCACATACTTCTTCCCAATGTACTCAGAGAGCTTCACCTGAAACAAGAAAAAAATACTCATCATTTTACCAATTAGTTTCACAATAATAAGACACATACTCACGAATGCTACAAACTATGTCTCATATATAATTACTAGAAGTAGCAGATATAATAAACATTGTTGGAAGAAAGGTTCTTTAGACAAAGATACCTTGATGAACTCCTGATCAAACACAGCCTCGGCCTCAAAATCAGGCGCCTTGTTTCCAACCAATGGGAGATCATCCTATAAACGCATAAGAAAAATCGCTAACACATCACAGCAAAGGAGGCACATAGCTCAAATCAACACTCAGAGAATCTGTACACTGATCAAACTACATAGAACACAGTCATCTGAGTATAGCTTAAATGTCAAATCAATTTCACTAAAACAAAGAACTTGGAATCCAACAAAACTAACAACCCTAGAACAAAATGTCACTAAAGTTCATGACTTTTAATGAAATCTTTACAAAATTAGAACCCTATGAACAAAACTAACAACCCTAGAACAAAATGTCGGTAAAAGTAATGGACTTTACATTAAATCTACACAAAACAGTGTCACAGATACAATAAATCGCCAGTAAAACCGTATACAAAGTGCTAACTAGTAAGGAAGAGAGTGAACTCTATGATAAGCTATTGAACTCGGAACCCAATCACACCGAAGGAAGAAAGTATCGACATTTAGATAACTTACGGCTTGGGCCTTAACAGCGAAGCTCCGGCGAGAAGTGGAGCGGATTGAGGTGAGGGAAGAGGGTCGAGCAAACCGGAGAGAAGCGGATGGGGAAGGAGAGGAAAGGGATGGAAGGAAAGAGACGGAGGGAGATGGAAGAGAAGACTTGGATGAGAAAACCCTAGTGGAGGAGGAGGAGGAGGAGATGAGAGTTGTTGAAGAAGCTACAGTCGCCATTGAGACCTCTCTCTCTGTGAAAAGACTTATCTGTGTGTGTGTGTCAACGAACGACCTCTGTTTTGTAGTGGAAGTGTGAGGTGGAGATAAGCCCAAATAACTATAACACTCTAAACGTCGTCATAAACGATGTTTTTCAAAATTACGAGAAAAATCAAAAACCTAACCCAAACCGAATTAAAAAATACCCGATCGTACCAAAATCTCTAGAACCGAAGTATTCGACCCGAACCTGATCTGATATCTCACTAGAAACCGATATACCGGATACCCGAAGTATTCGACCCAAACCTTATCTGATATCCGAGTATCCACCAATAGGCCAAAGATTAATAACCTTGAAACGACATCGCATTAACGATGTCATCAATTGACATGACTCATAGGCCCAAAGACCTTTAAATATTGTCATAAGCCCACAAATCTCTAACATCGAAAACGACGTCGCGTCAACGACGTTCTAAAAATTACGAGAAACAAAAAAAAAAGCAAGCAAATATGGTATATGGTCATCATCTTCTACGACTACCTTGGGTAACTCCGTCTCTCCGCTGCTTTCTTACTCCTCCGATCGGCGGTTCGATTCTCCAAATTGCATATTTCTCGTCTACTTCTTTCAGGTGCATTTTTGTAGCTCTCTCCTCCCACATGGTTTACTATCAAAGTCTTTCGAGTGCGTCTCTAGTTTTTTTTTTCTAACAAGTTGTGATTCTATTCTCGCCAGTTCTCGTAGAAGAAGAAGAGCTAGGTCGAATCGTGTGATCAAAAATATGGAGAGTGAGAAGGAACTGATGAACGAAGCTAAAAGACAAGTCAATTCAAGATTATGCAGAGTCTCTGGGTATATTAATATATCTTTTCGTCGATTAATTTGAAATATTTGATTATAAATTGCACCTATTAGAATTTTTTTAGTGGAATTTGATTAGAATTACTCCTATTGTTGGATTTTTTATTCTAAAGTTCGATGACGGAGGTGATGGAGATTCAAGCTGAGACTCCCAAGTTCCATGTACTGTTCATTCCAGGGAATCCAGGTTTAGATTCTATTGTTATATGCTCAAATGCACATTTTACACTAATATTTGAAGATTCTATTGTATGTTTAATACTTTGGTTCGTAATCTTTCAGGTGTTGTGTCATTTTACAATGACTTCTTGGAATCTCTACACCAGTTTCTTGATGGTGATGCATCGATCACAGGTAATGCCCATTTCGCTTTCGAGTTTGTTTCCATGAGTTTGATTGGTTTATAATGGTTGTTTCTTCTTGCATAGCTGTTGGGCAAATATCTCACACGAGCAAGGTATTATAAGTAACTTCAAATTTTCGCAGATTGATGGTTGTATGTAGACTCTTCATATCCTTCTTGGTTTTTGTGTGATTCATGTTTTTTTTATACTTGAATGATTTACATTCTTCTGTTTCGCTTTTAAGGACTGGGAATCTGGTAAGCTCTTCTCCTTGCAAGAACAAATCGATCATAAGGTAATAACGTGCACATCATTTTCCTTCGGTTAAGCAATTCTTATGTGTGTACCCTGGATGTAACCTTTTATCATACAGGTTGAATTTATTAGGCAGGAGTTGGAGAGCGTGAAAGTCCCAATAATATTGGTAAGTATGTCATTGTATACAGTGAAGTTACACTACATGTGACATACTCTACTTAAGAAAAATATATACATCCCTTAATTAAATGGATTTACAAAAATTTCCAACTCACGTCTAGATTTCTTTTTGAAGGTTGGGCATTCGATTGGGTCTTATATATCCCTTGAAATATTAAGGAAATGCCCGGAGAAGGTATAGACTGTTTCCTCTATAAGTTAAACTTTAAACCTCTATCATAGTTTCTCTCTGTGCTATGTGTTCATGTAAATTCTCTGGACTGTTTGCAGGTTGTGTATTGCGTTGGCCTATATCCATTTTTGACTTTGAACCAACAATCAACAAAGCAATCACTGATTGGGAAACTTGCAGCGTGAGCTTACATTCTCGATATCTTATGAATCCTCTGATAAGAAAGAAGCAACGAAATCATTTTTGTTTTGAATGTCACCCAACCATGTTGCTCTCTCTCTCTCTGCCAATAACCATATGAAATTGTTGAATTTCAGGTCTTCTCTTCTGTCGGCTACAGCAAGTTTTTTGGTTGCAACGCTTGGACTGTTACCTATGTGGGCTGCACGTCGGCTTGTATCCAACTCCCTTGGAGCTTCATGGTCTGATACTGCTGTTCAAGCTACTTGCACTCACTTGAGGCAGGTGCTGGTCTTGTTTTCACTTCCGATTTCACTCTAGCCATCCTTGTATCAAATCCTTGAATACAACCGTTGCATTTTTCTCTTTTGATATTTCAAGTTCTGCAGCCTATTAAATTTTCAGGTGAGTAAGCTTTTGATGTCTCTTGTCTTTTCCTCCCTTGCAGTATCACACTATGCGTAATGTTCTCTATATGGCGATGACAGAGTTTAGAGAGGTATTCTTCTTTTAACAATGTGCCTTATGGAGTTTACATTGTTTAGATTTGAACTCAAAATACGCAAGCTCTTAAGAATGATCAAGCTTTTCGACTATAGTTTGAGCCATCGTTTCACCATTTTTTGCATATAAGCTCGCAGCAGAGCCAGATTGGGAGTTCATGAGAGAAAACCAGAGCAAGCTTGCATTTTTATTTGGCATTGATGATCATTGGGGTCCTCTTCAACTCTTTGAAGAGGTTTAATAAATTTCCTCTTTTTTTAATGCATTTTCTGAGACATGAAGGAGAGTCTCACTCTCACATAGAATCTCCATTGTGCAGATTTCAAAGCAAGCTCCTAGTACTTCCTTATCTATCGAGAGGGAAGGTCACACTCATGGATTCTGCTGCACCGTGGCTGGCTCGGTGTGGGTTGCGCAGCACGTAGCCGCTCTGATCAAGAACCGGTTTACGCATCTCCAGTAAATGTAAAATTTTGACGGTCTCTTCCTTAGACCCTTTAAACCGGTCTATGATTTTACATTCCTGACCATTAAAAGCGCTTATAACAATTAATGGCCAAAACAAATCAATTTCGTTTAATCACTAACGCTAAACAACTCTATAATTGCAACCGTAGCAGTTGCATTGAATCAATAAATCGCGATTAGTGAGAGTTTAAAATAATAAAGTGTTTGGTAAGAGAAGAAAATTAGACCTATAGTTAAATACACCAAATAAAATCACTGACAAAAAAGTATACTAATTTTATTGTAGGAGGAATTAAATTCGTATTTATCATACTTACGTAACGCTCACTATTCTCAACTGCCTCAGTTACTATTACATTTATACTTGATTTAAATGAATTCATTAACTTCATCTATTGAAGCTAGCTGTAACTACCCCTTTTTAACTAACTTTCCACCCCGGTATCTCTAACCCCACTCCATAATTTACTGTAAAATAGAGTGAGAAATGGAATAATGAACAAACAAAAAAGTGATTTTCCACCCTGGTATCTCCAACCCCACTCCATAATTTACTGTAAAATAGAGTGAGAAATGGAGTAATGAACAAACAAAAAAGTGATTACTCTATAAATGGAGTAATCACTTTTTTGTTTATTCACTACTCCATATCCCACACCATTTTGCAGTAAAATTATAGAGTGGAGTTGGAGATGCTCTTAGCATTATGAAAACTGAAAAGGAAAACGAAATTCCTATAGGTAACCATTAATTTTCCTTAATTTATTTTTATTTCTCTCCAGTGAAGTAAAATTCAGCATTTAAACTTATCAATATCAGTAAGCTACAATTTAGAGCCTGAAAGTTTGGTAGTTTTTCTTATGAAAATGCATATTCCTCTTCTGCTTGCTCTTGACCTTGGCTGCTTAGGGCATCTTCAACCCAACTCCATTTTTTACTCTAAAATGGAGTAAAAAGGAATATGGAGTAGAAAACACTCTAACCCTACTCCATATTCTACTCCATAATAGAGTTTACAGTAATTTGTATTTTGTTTGTTCATCACTCCATTATGGAGTGGAAAATGGAGTGGGATTAGAACATTTTTACTCCATATTCTCTTTTACTCCATTTTAGAGGAAAAAATAGAGTTTTACATTGGAGATGCTCTTAGAGACAGCAGTAAAAAAAGATATACGGTGGTTGTACTTTTGAAAATGCGTATTAGGTACGACCTAATGAATTTGGTGAGTAAAACTATTCGTGCCCAAACCCAAATAATCGTATAGGATTTTTTTTTTACACCCTAACCATAGTAGGTGTTTTGGACAGCCATAACATTCAACAACATTTCAATCAACAAACCTATGTTTTCTTTATATACCATATCGGCTGAGGAATGCAGGAGTTGACCGGTTACCACATTATATTTAGAATGTTTTATGATTAATATCAAGAGCAACTGATTCGCGTGTTACCAGACAACCTTGCTAACTATTTGGCTCGAAATAAAACATTTGAGATTGTTGTGATTTTGTTACAACTGTCTCAAACCCCAAAGTTGTAACATACAAACACAACCATGCGGACCAAACAGATGTCTTACTATTATTATAGAGAATTAGTCCATCACCTCTTGGTGATTATCTCTAACCATTTCCAAATTAAATTCTTTCTCTGTATCTGCTTTGTTCAACTGTCCAATAGAATCTCGAACTCTTCTTTTACAATTTATTAATTCAAGAAACACCGTTGTAATTTTTGTAAGAAACAGAGGAAATTAATCTTTTAAATCTCCAAGGTGTAAAGGTTGAGAAATGAGAAGCACATACAAACACAAAGTGCGAATGTTTTATCATACTGAACATCATTTGCTCTAATAATTTCATATTTCATTAAACATAAAGTTAATGCTACTCGCGCTCCACTTCAAAGTTTGGTCTAAATGTGGAGCGTGATTAGCACTACTCTAAGACCAAACAACCACGAGAAGAAGCAAAAGAAAATATAGAAACAAAGTACGGTTGGATCAGCTACCCTCTAGGTTTACGTTCGGGAAAAGGATTGCATTAAACAAAAAAGTTCCACCAGGTCTTATTGCGTTTCATGGTAGCGGCGGGAGCGGTTGTAGCGGTTGTAGAGGCAGAGGCGTCTTGGTGGAGGAAATCGAGTAGGACGGTGCTTTTGCATTTTGGACATTTAGGGTCATCTTGAGAGAGCATAACGTACATGAGGCAACGAGGGCAGCCAACAAGTACCATTGAGATTGTTGCCTCCATCTCCTCCAGGTTCGTTTCAGAGGAAACGCATGAGCTTGGTGAAGTTGTGTAGGATCGGCTTGGAGAACTAACTAGACTCATCAGGTTGGGTTGAGAAGGAGGTGGCGAGAGGTTCAGCTTCAGCTCGAGCTTAGGGCCGTTCTTGTTCCTTCGGCTCATTGGTCCTTTCTTTGGGGGTTGAGAAAGAGAATTTTGGGTTTATTGAGAAGTCTTCTCTTGTTGGTTCTGGTAAGGCCGTTTTATAAACACAAACAGACACACACATAAACCAATGTTCAAAGAGAGAGATAGATTGATTTAAGGCGCAATTTAATTACGATAGGTGAAATAACTATGATAGCTAAATAAACTAGTCTTTTAGTTCCAACGACTATTTCTGCTTAACTGGTTGAAGAAAAACAATTCTTCTTTTCCTTTTTAAATGGAAATCTTGACTTATTGTTTAGAATTAAAGCACACATTTTGTAGTTTTTTAACATTCTTACATTTTATAGTCATGTTTTTTTTCTAATTTTTGCATTATCTCAACTTTAAGAATTTGAATTTTGACATGATTGACAATACTAATGTCAAGCCAATATACTACAAACTTTCGTTGGTGTTTTATATTTTAAATTATGTTTGCAGTTTTGAACTATGTTTATGGATTATAAGATATATTTGTGTTACAAAAGAAAAGACGTGCTATATTTATTAACGTGATCATGGTTTTGGTTTTGGTTTTGGTACGAGCAAACACTAAACTAACCTCAGTTTGGTTGAGAGTTGGTGATATTTATAAATGCTTTAATTATTGTCCAATCTTGTTGTTAACATTTTCGTAGGTTGTTTATATGTATTTGTCAACTACGGTTGAAAATACAATAACATTATATGTATGTTACCTGTTTAAAGTTTGTAAGATATATTTTCCAGAAACATTATATATACAAATACAATAAGTGGAGTCGTAATACCTTTTTCAAAGTCCTAAATCAAATAACAAGCTTGAATATTTAGGATACATTGCAAATGAAACATTAGTAAAAGCATAATTTTCTAATACAGGAATTGTATTAATTAAATGTTTATTAATATTCTCCAAATTTTTATTTGGTACTCCCTCCGTTTCACAATATAAAATGTTTTATCCAAAGCACAAGAATTAAGAAACTTAAATTTTTAAAAGATAACATCATTGATAGTCTAAATTTAAAATAAATTAACCAATCATAAATAATAAATTAAAATACTATTGGTCAACCGGTTTTCTATAAAGTTAAAGTACCTTAAAAATATCAAAACATCTTATATTTTGAAACATCAATTTTCTCTAGAACATCTTATATTATGGAACGGAGGGAGTATAAGACTACAAGTATTTATCAAGAAGGAAGAATTACGAATAGTATTTGTTGACAGAAGAAAACGAATAGTCTTTGATTGTATTTAATGAAAACAGATATATGTATACGTCTTTATATTGGCCACCTACGTACAAGTAAAAGGTCTTAATCGAAGCAGGAAGAGAATTGAATGTGTATTAATGTTAATCACAGGATTACAAAATCTTTCAAAGAAACTTACAAAATACTATAAAAAGATGGCCATGTCAAAGTAAATGTTACGACTACAATATCACGTAGCTTCGCACCAAAAGCAAGCTATTAATATTTGCAGTGCGAGTTAATTTCCCATGTGAAGTTATTTAATGATTTATTTTGGGAAGAAGGATTCTGTTAAAACAAATTTATATTTTCTCTATTCAAAACAATAGACTACACTTATATAGTAGTATATCTTCCGAACTACTAGTATAGTTAAAGCTAGCAACCTTACAATTAATTTCATTCAAGTGAAACTATGACATGCTTGGCTGGATTTACAATTAATGTTAACCGCTACGAATGAATGAATTATCAATATTCGGATTTCTTATCTTACGTTAAAATAGTTTTTTTTTCTTGGTCTAAATGTTAAAATAGTTGCAGTAATGCATGAATTATATTGACTGGAAATTTAAACTTCAGCTTCTTTTGTCACTTGTCGTCACACACAAATGCACTGTTTCAAAATGTGCCTTATTTTTTTGAGCAAAGTTTCAAAATGTGCCTTAAACCTCCTCTCGTGTTAAAATTTTGTAGGGGGTCTCAAATCGTATAAACACAATCGACTGATTACAAATGTTACGAATTGGAATTATATAGAGAATTATAGAGAAGTCACTCTTCTTGACCAAACCAATGTTAGAACTTAGAACAAGGTATGGTGGATTTAGGGGTTTTAGAAGATGTTTGAAACAAGGAATGGTCCAGGAAATTCTATTTGTGCAACTTTCTCAGCTAGATTTGTGCAACGTTAGAGGTGCAACTCAAAATGACAAAGTTTTCTTGGTACCCAAGGATCTTGCTATCTGTAAAATAATCTGTAAAGCAATGATATGCGAAGAATATATGTACTTTCCATAATCTGTAAAAAAAAAAGTTAATTAATAATGCTTCTTCTACTCCTGATCAAGCATTATCACTAGATATTTGCCATTTCCATTCATATCTACTCTTCTATCTAAGATTGAACTTGTGAGGTTGGATCTCATATAATGAGGTGGAATCAAAATGACACTAAGCCAGAGAAGTTATATAAACTGAGTAAATCGTAAAACAAGCAAGGCTTCAAGTTAGGTACCTTGATCAGTAAGTACCAAAACTCTAAGAAATAAAAACTCAATTTCACTGAAGTCAGCAAACCTTAATTTTATTATGATCCTTCCTTGTGTCTTAAGCAACTGGTTTCTAAACCTTTGAATTCCAGGAACATGCTTTTGGGCTTTATTGCCACCTAGTGAACAAAGTTCAAAATAAGAAGCCCAGCCAATTTAACTGTCTTAGGTGGTGTTATTCATTGATGTATTTTAATAAAGTTTAAATCTAAACACAATCCACTGTTATTCAATTGATGATTCTGATTTCTATTTTAAAATTCAGTGTTATTCATTGAATGATTTAAATCCAGTATTTAAAATCTAGTGTTATTCAACTTTTAATGATTTTAAAATTCTTTGTATTTTGGATTGATTTCAAATCATCTCTTGTGAATTTTTATGAACAAATGAATGAATTCAAAATCTAAGGCCTACTGCAGAGATTTCAAAATTCATCAACTTAAAATTTCTTAAAATTTTAAAATTTGATAGATTATAAAACATTAATCATTGATTTGAAATCACTGATTGAATAACACCCCCTTAATTATTTAGACAGATTCTGCAATTTACATGTTTGGATCATTATCAGTCCAAGGTTTAAGCCTTTAGATTCTATAAATCTTTTGATCACAAAAAAAAAAAAAAAAGATTCTATAAATCTCTGTTGCTCTGCTGTCTTTACCTCATCACCATCTTGATCTTCTAGCACTCTGGTTAATACCTTCAGCAGCATCCGGTAACCGCGACTTCGAAACCGAACCACCACGGAAGTTACTTAGTCCAGGACCAGAGAAGTGATGATAATCTTTTGAAGAAGCTTTGTATGGTTTATAAGCTTGCTTGTTCTCCAAGTAACCTTTATGAAGCTTCTCGCTATGTACAACCCAATCAGATATGCTTCTTTGTAAAGAAAGGCTTTGACTCGGCGTTGACTTTCTCCCTCTCTTGTTATCTTCCCCAAAAGGCCACTTATAGCTTTTCATCCTCAACTTCTCCATCTTCCACGTGGTGGTGATTCAAGTACTCTTCACTCTCTTGGTTATGTAACTTCTTCTCTCTACATCTTTTTGCTTTAAGGTAGGTTTGAAGCTGGTTCCTCAGCTTATCAACAGCTACGTTTTTCTCCTCGAGCTGATAATTAGCCTCAGAGAGTTCCATCTTCACTCTCTCCTCGCGCAACATCTCTCTTTCTTTCTCAACTTCTTCTTTAACTTTGAATGATTCTCTCTTCAGTTCTTGAACTTCGGTTCTTGTTTCAGCAAGTTCTTTGCCTAGCTCTTGTTCAAGCTCTCGAATCTTCTTCTTAGTTTCCTCTCTACTTTGAGTTCACCAGCAAGGGATTCTATTGCTGCCTCGACAGCTTCTTGCTCGTTGCTTTTCCACGCAGCTTTCTGTTCGGTAAAACGTTGGATCAAGTAGGTGATGTCGTTGTTCTCGGGCCGGTTTATGCTCGTGGAGTAGCTGGTTGACGTGTAAATGAGCTCTTTTGAGCTCAGAGTGAAGAGCTGAGACGAGGGACATGATGGGCAGTCTTCTTGATTCCACATTCTGTTGATGATTTTGAGAAGCTCTTTTGATGTTGTGAGAGCGTTTCTACATTCCTTTAACCGTGTTTTGACTTCCACTGTTGATATAGTTGGTGTCTCGGCTCGTGATTGAGTCACAATCTGCATTGAGAAAAACAATGTGAAATCTTTTGTTCATCGCTTTCTTGAACGCAAATAGATTTGGATATGACGGAGGCGAAACAAACTTTTTGCTCGTTGCTTTCCCACGCAGCTTACATGTCAATGTTATTTTGGTTTTTAGGTCCTAGACATTTAGAACCCGTTAGGTTATTTACAAAATTGATCCGGTTTGATTATTTTGGTTTTCGGTTTAGTTAGCAAAACTGGAAACCGGCTAATATCAAAATTGGATCCAATTCGGTTCTGCCTTTTCTGACAATTTTGTATAATATGAGTAAAAATGTCTGGATAATTCGTTTTTAAGTTAAATGTTGGGTAATTTGGATAATTCTAAATATGTCGAGTAAAAATATTTGGTTATTTCGAGTTTTTATTTCTGTTTATAAATAGTAGTTTTAGGATATTTGGTTATTTAGAAACTAACTTGTATAATTTGATATATTAGCTATATAATTTGTATTTTAAAAATTTGTGTATCCATTCACTTTTCTGTTGGTTCCAGAAATATAGGATCTATCCGGATAACTACGAAATTTGGTTTAGTTTCAGTTATTTTGATTCGGTATTGTTTGGCATTTTCGGTTCTGGATAAATGTGCACATGCTTATGCATAATCATGCACTTTCATCCAGAACCATTTGATAAAAACAGCTTAAGCGTTTGAAAGGTTTCTCATATATCCGAATAAAAGTAAAAGCCAACTTACATCCATGAAGCTGCCATTGCTAATATGATCCCTAGCTCCCACATTGCAGTCTCCAAGCCTAAGCTTCTGTGCAGTGGAGGATGGTCGTCTTTGGCGACTTCCAGTCCCTGATCTTTCCATCCTCCACAAAACCATCAAGTTTCTCAGCTTCCTTATATCGAATTTATATTGTCCATTGTCATAATAAGCATTATATATACAATCTTCCTTAGGTCTCAATTATAGGAGAATCTAGGCCTACATTATTCTCAATAAACCAACCAACTACCTCCATATGATGAATGAAAAAAAAACTACTCAAAACTCCCCAATTATGCAAAGATAATCGACACCAACTTAACGTGCCCTTTCTTACGAACTTAAATGGGTATTTTAGAGCACATTACTAAAAGATTCTGAAGATCAGCAGTTTTCTAATCTTCTCTAATCCCACTTCTTAACATCTATCAGAAGCAGCAGCTATAAAATAAGGTATATATCTATTCTCCAATGATGAATAAAATACTCATAGAGGGTTGCAATCAATATCACACAACTTTGACCAAATTCAGAAACACACAAAGATTATAACTTCATCACTTAAACAGAGTTGAGATCTCTCTCTCTCTTTTTTCTTTAAATATCTTATATGATTAGCAAGCAGATCAAGTAAGTAAGTTAGTAGCATTCTCTCTCATTTGATCAGAATGAAAACACATGGGCATAGCATGTTCCTTTTTCCTCCACCAATCCAAAACCATGGTTCTAAAAATGAATTTAGGTGGAATTTAGGTGGCGATTAGGCGTCTAGGCGGTAAATTGGTTTAAACTTTAAACTACTCAAACTAGTTTAAATCATTCTAAACTGGATAAAACCACTATTAAACAATTTAAATTGGTTTAAATCAGTTAAAATCAATCTGAATTAGTTTAAATCTGTTAAATTAAGTTCACCACACTCTCTTCTTCAACAACTCTCGGAGAAGGCATCTCGTTCAGCTCCCACAGAGTCACAGCTAACTTCCTCGCCGAAACAGGTACTTTCCCTGTCTTCGGAGAAGCAGCAGCTCGTAACGACGGAGATGGAGATCGTCCCATGAGTCTCCTCCATGTAGGAACAGGAGTATTTGATCCTCCTCCTCTTTTGCCAACTTATGATGGCTCTCTTGAAAAGGTAACCTTCCCTGAGAACAGAGGAAGACGACGATGTTGGTGAAGAGCAACCACGTTTCCTGATTTTTCCCAAGAAGGAGGAGATTCTCAACGGTTTTGGTTTTGCCTCGGCATTTGTGGAAACGGTCGTAGACGGTAGATCTCTCTGAGCTTGAACAGGTATGATCACTTGTACATAGTGTTTACGTCTCAAAGTGTCTAGGGAAAGGGGGAAAGGAGTGGTGATGTGTGGGGTGAGGAGCACTGTGTTCATGTGCATGTGGTTTAATCTGGATGGTTGGACTTTTTAAAGTAAACCGAATCCAAATAATTGGATGGATAACCAAGATTTTCTGGCTTTATAAATCGGTCTTCTCTTCACGTGTTCACAAATATACCACCAAATTCTGTATTTTGATTAGTTTATGACTGGAACTCGAAACGGATCCGGCCTTAACATTTGATTCTCTGCTTTGTTTTACTATTTATTACATGTTTTATCCGGACATATGCGGATATAATTCTTTTATGAATATTTATTAGTTTATATTTTATTAATTCAAAAACAACATAGTAAGTTATGATTTATGTTTTTGAATCTATATATATAAACTAAAGTTTCCCTCTTTTTCCATAGTCCACGTCACTAAATAGTCAAGAGAAAAGCTGCCGCGTGTCCATTTTTTTTCGTTTCTGCTACGATTTTGTATGGGCCATTATGATTAAATTAGTTGGACTTGGCATTTAGTTATTTTATTTGTTAAAAATAAAAGCCCAACCCGAATGAAAGGAAAACATCATCTTTTTCACGACATTTAGGTGCTTTCATCGTCTTCTACAACTTGACTTCGTAGGGATCGTCAAACAAATCTATCGCCATCAATGGATTTTCAGGAAATTGTGTGAGACGAATCTTAAGTAGGAATATTTGGGTCGAGCATCATTCGCGTCGGTTCGTTTCAGATTATTTTCCTCTAAAACGTTACGAGATTCATAGCCATTAAGACCTATCTTTACTCCTTCAACTCCCAAAAAGTACAATTAATCATTCAGTGCTTCGTATTTTTCTTCCAGGCGGTGTATATCCACCTATAAAAAGGCCAGTCTTCATTGCCTAAACATCATCCTCGCAATTCCTAAAAACACTATTTTACCAAAATTTTGTTGTGTTCAGCCCTTTATTTTGTTTTCATTGAGTTTATGTTATTGATTTGGCGGCCGGGCGCGAGAATATAGAGATTGAATTCTTCTTCTCAATTTGATAATCTTGCAAACTATGATTCTGATGTCTCAGAGGTACTGATAAAGAAGATCGCCAAAGGTTTCCACACAGTAAGCATTGATCGTTATGATTTGTTTTCTCACTGAGTTCTTTGTATATATTGAAATCACAAGAGAAAGGAGAAAAAAAAGTCGATATGGTTAGGGCTCTGGATGAGCTGGAACTGTTGTTTGATTCTTGGGTTTGTTCTTTGTTTTATTTATATGTCGTGGTCTTATCATTAACCTTATTGTAACTTGAATTTTGTATGGCTTAGTAAAGATCAAACCTTTCTTCTGTATTTTTCCCAAACATTTAAGACGTGCTTCTATATAGGTTAAAAAGAGAGATAAAGATGTGAAGGTGTTGTAGCGGGTGGTGACGATTGGTTGCCTTTGCCGCCAAAGGTTGTCTTCGATAAAAGCAAAAGAGTCCGGTGAAGATTCTACCATTAAAGCTTTGAGGTAGTTGTGTATGTCTTGAGTATTTGTTTCATCTACGTGAATTCCCATGTTGCTATTGGAAGCTATGGTTTGAACACTGCTATCTTTAAATTTTAATGTGCCTTCCTTGATGATATCATCCAAAGAGTTTCTTTGTCACGCTTGGTTCTGAAGTTTTGAATTGAAATATGCAATGTATTAGAAACTATGGTATCGTATGTTGGTACTTCCTATGATGCCATTAGAAGCTACTGTTTTTTTTTTCCTCCAACATTATATATCTCTTGGTTGATCTCACTTTCACATGAAGCAATAGGTTTGGACACTGCTAATTGTTATTTGTTAATTCTTCTTTGATGATATCGCCCAAAGAATCCCTATTATTACGTTTTGATTCTCAAGTTCTGAACTGAAACATGCACTGCAAGTAGAAGAAGATGGATCTCATGTCATTCACAAAGACTGTAGTAGATGTGCTGCATGAAGCAGAGGTAAGTAAAACTTATTGAATGTCGAACTCTACAAACTGCTGTTGGTTCTTTTGGAGGTGTAGTATATATACTAATGGAGTGTATGCAACAGCGCTTATGGTGGCCAAAGCTGGGAGCAACCGTCCTGCTATTTCAGGCTTCAACAGTCCCTCTCTCCTTCATGTTGAGCTACGCAGAGTAACTATGGCACACAACTAATTTAGCTCTTAGAAGTGAGCTAAGATTGATTAATATTTGAAACTTTTTTTTTTGTGAATGCAGGGTTCATCCATGTGTCATGCAAAGAAGCCTTACAGATTACAAGGCTCTGTTTTTCGAAATTGATTTTTCAACTGTAAGAACACCATATTGGTTACGATAAATATATCTCTACTAAAAATAAATTGTTAGGAATATTCTTATGCTTGCCTATGGTGTATTAGATTGTAAGTGGAAATTATATTTTGTGGAAGCCGAGCCCAAGAGAAACCCCAGACGAAGTTGCAGCAAGAGATGTAGAGTTCATTAACTGGTGATGAGTTCCATGGATACTAAATACATTTTTGTTTTTTTTAGTTACTAATTATTCTCCCATTGACTCAGGCATGGTGTCTTGAGCTCTATAAAGAAAGAGTTGTCTATACAGTGAGAGACCTTAACGCACAAACCTGAAGAAATGCATTAACTGTTTGCTAATGAAACTATGTAACATTTTTCAGCTTCAAAAAAAAATATGGTAGAACAGAAGATCAATATTATAGTCTCTAAGACACGTGCATAAAAGTATTTTTTTTAATTGATTATTTTTTCCACAAGTCTATACACAACACACTGATCCTCTATTACAATATAAGAATTACAAGGTCAATCTTTTCAAATATTCCCCACTATTTGATACAACAGACCGTCATGTATCACAATAAAAAAGTGAAAATATGACAGTGAAAAATCATACATAAATCAAACAAACTGCATGCAACGTCCCTCAAACCAAAAACAAAAATAATTGTAAAACTATTTGTAGCTCGAGTGTAGTACTTCATATTTGCATTCATTACTTTTAGTTCATCCTAAACAAATGTTTTCTCTTAGTACTTTCTGCTTGATGCAATTTAATTTTGTTGTAGTTAATATATATCATTTTCCATTTTAATTCATTTGCTAATTCTTTTGTCTAATTTACATTCTAGCACAAATTCTCAAGCAGCAAAATAAAAAAATCTACATAAACAAAATTTACAATACCCACAAATGTTCAGAACTGTCTCACAACATTATATTAAAAGATCAAACAAAAAAATCACAACTTATAATGTAACTTTACGCCTAACAATATGTAATATCTTATCACATATAATCTTTCTTTACCTAACATTGTCTAAAAACAAAAATCATTATTATACGCATCTCTTTCAAATGCAAACTTAAAACACAAATCATAAAACTTTACAAAAAAATAATCTAGATCACAAAACTATAACCCGCCCGTAGGGCGGACCAACCCTAGTTTTTTTATAAATGATAACACTCACATACCAAAATATTAATTTTTATATCTTAATTTTCTGTTTCTATAATAGAAAATATAATATAAAGTATCTTATTTTCCTAAAAATATAATTATTACTAATAAAAATTCATTTTATATATAATAAATTATATCTGAAATTATTAAAAACATGACAAATAAGAAAAATTACCTAAATCATTGAGAAGTTACAAATCAGAAAATCATCTTAAATTTTATAATTGAAAATATATTTTCAAAATAAAAATATAATACATAAGAATATCTTATTTATAAAATATAATATTAATAATATAAAATATTTTTACTATATAATATTTTTTATGAAATTATTAAGACATGAGAAATAAGCTAAATTACCTAAAAATATAGAGAAGTTGACTAATCAGTATTGTTTGATTTATATTTAATTATAATTGTATATCTTAACTTTTAATTTTTATAATAAAAATCTATTTTCATGATAACAATATAATACATAAAAAAATATTTAAAAATATAATATTATTAATATAAATTCATTATATTTAATAATAAATATATATATGCAATTATTAAAATACGAAAAATAAAAAAATTATTTAAAATTATGGAGAACTTAACAAATCAGTAAATTTACTTCTCGAATAATAATATAGATTATTATTTTTGTTCTAGTAGCTATAAAAATGAACAAAACCGAATTAAACCAAAACTTGACTTGGACGTCTGACTTTTTCAAGTAAATAATTAAATAACCTGTTGTTCAAAAAAAAAAAAATTAAATAACCATCTTCTTGTTTATCTAGTTGCGTCATATTAAAGTGATATCCATATTCACGATGTTTGCCGGCTTGTTGAGAACAACTATCTCTGGTAAAAATATATCCATCTACCTAACAAGTACTATTTGATATGGACATTGTTTGTGCTATATGGGCTTTGCTTACATGAATCAGATGCATTGGCATCTATAGTTACAATAATTAGATGAAATCAATGGATGATTATAAAATAATAATATTTATAATTTGAATTCAACTTTATGTAACTTTCACCCGAAAACATGCAAAAGATAACCAGGCAATGTAACAGTAAGTTCATTTCTGCATGTGCTTATGTGATTGCTTTGGTAGCTTTGAAGGTGGACCCATATATCGTGTTACTATCATGGTTATGACTCATAAATAATATGTTCATCTTCCCCAACTCTCAAATACTCATAAATCATATTGATACTGGCCAGTGTTTACGAAATTTATTTTATTGTGGCGATTTGTATGGTAAGTAGCAATCCGTGATAGATGGTTTTGCAGGAAAACGGGAGATGAAAAAGTAATGACGGAAACAAAAAAAAACATAAGTCGAAGTTTATCATCAATACACTATACATGTAGGATGTCAAGCTTTAAAGACTATGGAATGTATGAAGATCATTTAGAAGATTGAAGACAGATGTGGAGTTGTAACAGATTTTTCTAAAATGATGAAAATGATATCTAGAGTGATAGAATGGCATGTTTTCGATCGTCTCTTATCTAGACAAACTAGGTGTTGTGCCCGCATATGCGGGCATAATTTTCTTACGAAAATTTATTATTTATTATTTTCTTAATTTTAAAATAATATTATAAGTTATTTTTATAGTTTTAAAAAACCTAAATCAATCATTAAAATAATTTTTATATGAATTTTCATCAAAATCCATATGCTTATTATAGTGTTGAAAAACATCCACATAATAAAATATTTTGAAAATATATTTATATTTTTTCTTAATATTTAATTTTAAATTTTTTTATAACTAAATTTTTATTTTTCATAATAAAAATATTATTTCCAGATAATTGTATAATATTCTCTAAGATATCTTATGTTTTAAATATGCATGAATGTAGATAATTATCCTATTAATTTATAATAAATTAACTAATATAATAACATATAAATTTCTATCACTAACATAAAATTCACTTTTAACTAGTTTATATATAAATATATAAATTTCATTAAAGGTAAGATATATAAGCATTATCATGTTGTTACAATATTATATTTAGATGATAATAACATATACAAGAATTATCTTATTTTTGATTTTTTATAAACTTATTATATTAATTATTCTAAGTTATCTAAGATAATAACATACTAATCTATTTTTTAAAATTTTGTTTTTAATTATAAAATTAGTTATATATAAAAGTTTCATTAAGGGTATAATCGATATTAACCACTCCAACTTTTAACGTGAGAGCTCCGTTGCGAAAAATCACTTCGCAAATAATAGTATAGATGATAATAACATATATAAGAATTATCTTATTTTGATTTTTTATAAACTTATTATATTAATTATTCTAAGTTATCTAAGATAACAATATACTATTCTAATTTTATTTTTTAAATTTCGTTTTTAATAATAAAATTAGTTATATATAAAAGTTTCATTAAGGGTATAATCGATATTAACCACTCCAACTTTTAACGTGAGAGCTCCGTTACGAAAAATCACTTCGCAAATAATAGTATAGATTTCGTGGAAATAAGGTTTTTTTTTTGGTAAAAAAATAAGGATTTTTTTTCATTCGTTTAAACCTACAACATAGTTTTTTTGTGCGGTGGGCATTCATTTAGCAAACTGCTTACAGTTTTTTTCATCGGTGATATATGTTGATTCTTTACCACCAGTATGGATTGTTTCTGTTGTAGTTTAGATTAGTTGTTGTCTTGTTGACAATAAAAAAAGTTAGTTTAGACTGTTGCAAACAGTTTTTCCTCTCTAACACTTGTAAAATTCATGGTGAACTTGAAAACAAAACCTTATGAAGAAAACTATTCAACCTAATAAATGTTTGGGTCTGCATATAAATGAAAATTTGTCTATATGAAACTTATGTAAAGCGAACTAGAAGTTTAAAGGTGGGCACAAAATTATACAAGTCAGCTAGGCCAAAATCAAACGCAGTAAATAACTAAGGAATTGGCTGCCTGCCTGCCTATGATTTTTTTCTTTTTTCAACATATAGGTTGCCTATTTAAGGTCAAGACGTAGGGCAGATTCAAAGTTCAAACTTGTAACAATCTTTTACTTACTAACTAGATGTTGTTGACTCACGTTTAAAAACTCAAAATATCTTTTAACAAAATTTAATTATATATTACATTATTTGAAATCTATATAATTCTATTATTTGTATTTATATTAAATCTGGAAATTATATATTACTTAATTTTATTTTTAAATTATTTTAGCCATTTGTTATAAATATTAATAAAATATCTGTAATTAGTTTGGTTAATTGTGTGATATATACTTATTTGATAAAATTTAAAATATAAGATTTATGTTAATTTATTGATTTAACATTTTATTTGTATAAAACTTATCAATGTCAACTAAACCAAACACAATCATGTATTTTAATTATATGCTATTAATAATAAAAACAATTGTCGAAGAAAAAGAATGTAATAAGAAGGTTTATTAAGTTTAAATAAATGTAATTTTTATTTATACAAATAGAAATAAAATAATTTTATTTTAAATCTACTTATTTTGCAATATCTGAACCCGCGAAAATAGTATACTTATTTGTTAAGTATACTTAGATAGTTATATGTTACAAATAATTCGGGCCTTCCAGATATCGGGGGTCCGGATATCCAGACTAAAACTCGAATATCCGTGGATATCCAGATCCGTTTTTCTTTAAAAAAAGATAAGAAATCAAAATTAAATTTAAAATTTAAAATTAAGTATATATTTATTCTATTAAAAACTATTATTTTGCAAAAAAGTTTTTAAAAAAAAATAAAAATAATTGTTAATTATTTTTAATAAAATATAGAATATACTTATATTTTAAAATATTTAGTGTGTTCGAATAGCGGATATTAAGTCTTAACCCTACTTATAGTCAAACCGTTATCAATATGCGCCTTATATAGTAACTCAAACATCTACTAAAATGACCTTGATCTTAAACGAAGAAGATTATAAGTTAAGGAAATAAAAGTATCATACATTTTATTAAGAAAAGTATAAGACATAGACATACTGATGGTATCTTCATTTGATTGTTTTGCTTAAGGAATTAGCGAGTTGTAATTTTGAGCACCTAACTGTCTAACTTGTAATCTTTATGCGAAGCTAAAATTCATATCAAAATAATCGAACCTTTAAACTAATTTTTCATAATTGCCGTAATGCAATAACGTTTGTCGAGCACTGCGTTTTTATATCATAATTTATACCATTCATTATATTTTAAAGTATTTTATAGTTGAAACTAAATAAAA